TTTGATTTTTTTTAGGATTTCCGTATCTTTATTGAATTCCTCTTTCATATCCTGCATTGTTTTCCTTATTTTATTCGGCTGTTCATTCGTATTCTCTTTGAATTCATTCAGGTTTTTAAACATGTCCTCTTTAAGTTCATTGATAATTTCTTTGGCAGTACTGGGACTTGAACTCAGGGCCTCAGATTAGGCAGATACTCTGCCACTTGAGCCACGTCCCCAGCCCCCATTGATCATTCTTTTGAGTTCTTTGGGATTTCATCCACTTCACTCTGCTTCATGTCCATGATGATGGGGTTGTTGACTTTTGGTCTCATGTTGCCTTGTTGTTCCCTATTTCTGGTGTTCCTGCGTTGGGATTTGTGGTTGGAAGCTTTAGCCACCTGTAGTCTTTCAGTTGAGGTGTTCTCAGTGTTTAGGCAGGGCTGTGCAGTAGCAGGGTTGAGGAGTAGTCTCACCATGGGGATGGGGTAGCTTGCTCCTTTCTGTCTGAGCTCTTCAGTTGTCCTGTCCTCCTTTCATGGTTCCTAGTACTGCCCTCTCTCTCTCTCTTCCAAACATAGTCCCTCCTTTGTTATCCTGACTCTTATTCACAGAGTCACACAGAGAAAGCGTCTACTCTGCCATCTTGCTCGACCTCTAAACACTTTTTTTTGGTGGTACTGGGGTTTGAACTCGGCCTGACACTTGCCGAATTTGAACCATGCCCCCAGTCCTTCTTTTCTTCAGCTTTTGGATAGGGTTTTGCATTTTTGATGGCCTTGGAGTTCATATCTCTATAGCACTATTCACTGTCAGAATTTCAGCAAAAAACATCTGTTGTCAGATTTTGGTGTGGACAACCCAGCCTCATCTAGCTCAGTTCTACTTACTTACAGGAAACACTCCTGCCCAGCAGCTTTGAGGACTGGATTTGTCTGCCTAGGATCTGCATACCTTGGTTATTATGGGCTTGAGGTGGTTTGGGGGTCAAGACAAACTTCATTACACACCCTTGACCTCAGATGACTAATGAGGAAATGGAAGCATTTTTCCATTGTCCAGATAAGGAAACCAAGAGTCAGGGAGACAAAAGGCTCACCTGGCAACAGCTCAGTGACACAAGTGTCCACCTGACCCTTCTGGACACCACTCCCTCTACCACTGGCCACCCCCTAATCCTTCCTGCCCTTAGCTTGGAAATCATAGGAATAGCTCGGGTTGAGATGTCATCCTGGCTGATGTCCCTCACTCCTTGGGCTCTCCTTGTTAGTCCTGTCCCTACCCCCTTGGGCATTGGATCAGACCGACCAGTGTTGGATCCCTAGGACCTATCTCCTGTGTCCAGAGCAGGTGTTAGGGAATGCTACATGGACAGTAACCATGTAGAACGGCTGGTACTTTGGTCAGCTCTGACTTGCTTTGGGGACCAATGCTGTGAAAGTGTGAACCCAGCATCACCTGGGAATTAGGCATACAAACTCAGAGCCTATCCCTAACCTAGGAAACTCAACAAGTGGGGAATGCAGCCCAGTCAGCTGAGCTGTAATAAAGTCACCAGGCAATTGAGAACCACTGTCTTGACAATAGTGGCGTTTGGAGCTGGGCATACCTGAGAATAAATCCCAGCTCTGCCTGACTTGCTGTGTGGCCTAAAAGAAGTCACTTAACCCCTCTGGCTTTGGTTTCCTCCTCTATAAAATGATGCTCATATATTGCTAGAAGTTTTATATGACCCTTTTCAGGGAAAGGTGTACAGCATGAGCCTAGTATGAAGATGACAAATGTTTACTTAGAGGCTGAAATACTCGTCCAGTGACGGGGCTGGGAGTCTCAGTCTGGTCTGCTAGGACAAAATTTATTTTTTGTTTTTTGCTCAATTTATTTATTTTTTACAGCCTAAATTTATTTTTCACAGTTCTGGAAGCTGGGAAGTCCAAGACCGAGGAGCCTGTAGATTTGGTGTCTGGTGAGAGCTGCTTCCTTGTAGATGGTGCTTTCTAGCTGTGTCCTCTCAGTGTGGAAGGGAAAAATGAAAGCCCTCTGGTCTCCTCTATAAGGGCACTAATACATTCAGGAGGCTCCTCTGTCATCCCCCAATCCCTCCCAAAGGCCCCCTTCCTAAATACTATATGTTGATGAGAACTTCAACATATGGGGGACACAAACATTTATACCATGGCAGTCATGCTTGTCTGGGACTGAGTCTTGTACTTCAACTGCAGGCCTAGCCAGATTGAGCTCAGCCTGGTCCATCCTCCTAGCATGTGGAATACCTGCATTCTGGCCCAGGTTCTTTCCACTGCAAGGGCACATGGGATGACCCCCATCCTGGTCCCAAGGCCTTTCTACCTGTTCCCACCACAGGGGTCAGGCCCAGAGAGGCACCTGTGTCTCCTGCAGGTATCTGGGGAATGGATGGGGAGGGTCCAGACTTGCCCCACCTAGGAGAAGGTGCAGGGTATGGTAAGCCTATGTGAAGGGGAGCAGCCATCACCCTGGAAAACAGGGGCTGTGAAGAGACCCCGTTTGGGTCGGGGGAGAAAGGTAGGTTACAGGGCACCAACAGCTCAAGGTGCCTGTGGGTAGAGTTCTCTTGGCTTCTTGGACACCTTACAAAATCATCCTAATTGATCACTCCTGTTTATGGTAAATAGGATCAGGTACTCGCCAGGGCTGAGGTCCTCCCATCAGTCTCCAGTGCAACCTGGCCTCTCGTTTAAGGGAAACTCACTGTTTAAGAGAAACTCACTGTTTAAGAGACACTGCACTGAAAACGGGGGGCAATACCTCAAGGACTAGATCGTACTTTGCTCCTTTGGGCCCCTGGGCTGGGGTGGGAGCCTCTGATTGTTCTAATACCTGGAGACTTGGAGAATTTATTAATCACACTATCTGAGACATTCCTGACCCGTTCCCTCTGGCATTCCTGTCCTGGTGTCAGAATGATTCAGGTCTCTCCAAGGGCAAACATTGGCTCTTCTTCATATTTGGCACTGTGAAGTCTAGCACACAGTAGGTACTCAATAAACGCTCGGTGAATGAATGACCATCCAGTCAGCCCCTTCCCTGCTAGGAGAGAAAGGCAACTTAAGGGTTAGATTCGGCTTCCTCCCAACATCCCAACTACTTGCTCTGTGTCCGTGGACAAGTCTCACCTTCCTCTCACCTGGCCTCAGGTTCCCTATCAATCAACTAAGAGGGGGTTTGTCAGGTGTCCACAGAGGCCTTTCTCTCAGCCTCTCCCATTTTTGTCCTGATGGTTTGTGAGGGGCCCTCCAGGCCTGCCCTGGTGCCTGATGCCCAGCCCCACAGGCTGCCCAGGGAAGGCCAAGCCAGGTGGATAGGGACATTGCATGTGATTGAGTGGCTCTTCCGAGCTCTGCACAAAACCCTGGATGGAGAGGCAGCCCTACAGGGACTTCTGAAGAACCAGTGTTTTAGCTTAGGTGGTAGCACAGTCAGATCCCTGTCTGGGTCACTGATCCATGCTTGCATTATGGTGAAAGAGAGGGGCTTGGAGAAGTATGTGATATACCTCCCTGTGAAGTTCCTGCCAGGGGACAGTCCAGGACTCATAACACTCCCCAAGAGCCAGTTCAGGGACCCTGGGGACCCATGAGGGCAGCGTGGAGCGTTGCTGCCAGCACTGATGCAATGCAGTTGTGAGAGGCAGAGGAAGGGCCAAGAGGACCTGGTAGCCCACCCTGGAGGGTGCAGGAGAGACAGCCAAGGATGGCAATGCATCCTGGCCTCCCGCCTAGGTATTTTAATAATTATAACAACATCACCTCCTGAGCACTTAAGGACTCCCCACACCCTAAGCTTTCCTAACCCTCCTACCTGGGGAAAATGAGGCCAGGGGGTACAGTGAGTTTCCCAAGTTTGCCAGAGGGCAGAGCAAGAGATGGTGAGTGGGCCACGAGGGGTTTCACCCAAGCTCTCAAGCATTCCTGTCGCTTTCCTGCTGCTCCTCATCTCTGTGGAGGGCAGCAAGAAGGGCCTGCCCTCAAGACCCCGAGCCTGGGTCTCAATTGAGGTTTTTCTCATGGTGCCTTGGGCAAGTTGCTGAAATTCTTTGAGATTCTGGACCTTGTTTACTTTTCTGTGAAGTGGGGAACTCCAGCCTTCTTCATAGCTGTCAGGACAGAAGAACTCAGAGTGTGTGGCCTGGCGGCACAGTAGGCCTGGCCTATCATTGTAATGTCACTATAGAATTTGAGCTGCCTGTGGGGGCCTGACAGCTGCTCAGAAATGTGCCTCTGCCCCATCCCACCTCATCTCCCTCTGTAGCCTGGGGCTGGTGGAGACAGAAGCTAGTGTCCACTCTGGGTAGCAGGTGGCCTACTGATGGACTCCACTTCAGAAACTAGCAGACCAGGGGACCCACCATCTATCTAAGAGTCGTGACAACAAAGATTTGTCCTCTGCCTGTTGAGCCAAGGAGCCCCTCTCAGCGGCTCTGGGAGGGCCCTTTGCCCAGACAGGCTGCTTTTCTGAGTGGCCTTACCAGTGCTTGGTGAGAGTGGCTGAGGCAGCCCTCCCTTCTCCCCTCTTCAGTTTTGCGAGGGCTGTCAAGTTAGGTTGCCTTTCTCTTCAGTTCATGTCAGTGGGAGGCAGGGTCCTCAGAGGTTTTGTTTGCACCTCAGACTAGCTGGGACTCACCCCTCCTTCACAGAGGTTCTTACAGATGAGCTATTTACAGATAATACAAGTAAAAAGGAGCACAAGGCCCAACAGACAATAGGTGCTCAGGTAAATGTGTGCCCAGAAGAACTACCAGGGAAGAGTGGTGGCCTGTTAGGAAAGACAGGGAAGAACCAGTCAGATGCCCATGTGGGGGAACCCAGGTCATACAGCAGCAGGTGTTGGGGAGAAGGGGCCCCAAGGGCCTCAGGTGCCTCAGATCCCTATTCTCTGATTTGGCAGGGGTACTGAGATGTGGCACCTTGAACAGGGGTCTGTGCTCTGGATCTTGCCCAAATCCAAAGCTGGTAAACACCAAAGAAGACACATACACCAGCTGACACAAGTGTGAGGGCAGATGCAAAGGCCTTTCAATGCACAAGATCAGCTGTTTATTGATTTTGTTCTAAAATACTATACATTTAAAAGAACTCCTAAACTTAAAAGACTTGACAGTTTGTGGTCAATCTGTAACATAGAAATGAGCATTTCTGCTGGTAAATTGTCATAGCAGACACATGTGCATCCACATTTTAAATAAGACGCTGCGTTCACTGCAAACATGGAAGGGATGCACAGCTGCTGACAGGGCAACACGGCACCATTGTATGAACTAGTAAGGCCCTCCCAGCGCCCGCCCCATGGGACAGTTCTGTCCCTGATGACCAAAGACGCCTGGAGGGACCTGTGCTGTGGGCAAGACCCTGCTTCCGTTTGCTCACAACGCTGTGATGCCTGTGACTACTACAAAGACATGGGCGTTTTCACAGTACTCTGCCCTGAAGCTGGCACTAAGGCAGCCAAGAGCGGAGCCGGAGCCATGGCTAGTGACCAAAAACTAGTCTTCTCTCTTAGGACCATGTCTGAGCCGGAAGGAGGCCCTGTTAACCGGTCAGACCCATGCCCCAATGTCACAGGCTTCAAGCAGTTTGCAAATGGCACCCACTGTCAGAAATCATTAAATCTCACTGCAACAGTGGGTAAGCTCTTTAGATTCTCTGAATACCAAATAATATATACAGATATACACCAAGACACGATGACCTAACATAAAGCATCTTAATCTACAGGCGCATTTGCTTGAAGTTAGTCTTCTGCTTAACCTTCCAAATCACTGATAAACATGTTAATTTGCATAAGAATAGCTTTAAGCAAGTGAAGTATAAAGTGAAAATAATTTTTAAATGTGGTAACATTAGGGAGTACTACTTAAGGTCACCTCTGAAGCTCGTACTCACTGAGGAAACCCCATTGTCCCCACCTTTTGGCCAGGTCTCCTGCCTCAGCTCTGGCACCTGCCCTGGTAGGGACAGGACTGATGGGCAGCACAATGTGAAGATGGCGCTATCTATCATGCCCTTGAGAACAGAGCAGATCAGTCTGGGCTCAATTTACATACCAAGGAATAAAGAGCAGATATATAAAAGTATAACTGTACATTGCCTTTAAATTAAAAACTTCAGCATCTTTACTCAGAAAGTGGGGTCTATGTTTGTTCATTTAACTTGCATATGAGACTCTTCAGAGAAAATAATCAGTGGAAAAAGAATCAGTGTAACCCACCATTGACTGGGAAGAGAGACAAGGTCAAGATACAGACCCATGATACATAGAGCTAGTGGGGACAGGGAAGGGCTCAGCTCTCACTGTTGGACTTCATCTTCCTGTGCTTAGATTTCCCCTGGTGCACCTGGAAAGGGGCTGAGTCCCAGGTGAAATGACCAGCTCATCTGCCTTCAAAGGACACCAGGAAGCCAAGAGCAACAGAACCATCATCTTTTGCAGGTGATGTGAACACCTACATGGCTTCTGGGTGTGCCAGAGGTGTGATGCCTGGGCCGAGGCTAACGGAGCTCCTGGACTGGCCACTTCCATCTCTCCGCCAGCCTGCCCATGGCCCGTCACTGGATGGCCTCCACGTAGTTGGCAGGGTACAGGCCAACCTGCCCACTGTCCAAACGTCCCTTGCACCAGCCCTGCTCATCCTCGTCTTCTATCTTGGTCAGCTCATCCCCTGCAAGACAAAGAGGGGTGGCCTTAATGAAAGGGTAGAAGAAACTGACTGGAGAGAGCCACTCACACATCTGAACATTGCATGGTTTTCTTCTGGGCCCACACAGGGCCTCTAGGGCAGGCATTCTTCTAATGGAGGGGTGATAGCATGGGTATTTCTCTACTAAACTGCATTCAAAGAAGGTTCATTTGTGCTGGTGGAGTGGCTCAAGCTGAGGCCCTGAGTTCAAGCTCCAGTACTTCCAAAAAAAAAAAAAGAAAAAAAAAATATATATGTATAGAATTTTGTAGCCAGGCACTGTTGGCTCATGCACTAGTTACTCAGGAGGCAAACATCAAGACGATCATGGTTTGAAGGCAGCCCTGCTAAACAGTTTGCAAGATCTATCTTAAAAAACCCATCACAAAAAAGGGATGGTAGACTGGCTCAAGGTGTAGGCCCCGAGTTCAAACCCCAGTATTGGGGGAAAAAAAAAAAAAGCTTCATTAGTCACAGAGGACTCTAAGATCTAAAGATGATAGCTCTCACAGTGACTGGAGAGCAAGTAGCTCTCAGTTGCTGTAATGATGGCACAGATGCTACAGAGAAGAATGCTGCAGGCTTTGTCTTGTGCTTTTCTGCATGTCCTCAGCCAGGTAAGAGGAATCCTGCCCCATGTATATATCTCAAGCTGTATCCCATGTAGCACCTATTGCCATGGTTTCTGTGCCTCCCTTAATCCCTCCCCAGGCTGGGAGAGAGCAACAGACCACATATGATCACTGGATTTATGATTTTGTCCCTGGCACCTGGATCAGGGCTTGTGCAAGATGACATGTGACAAGCCTTCCAACACGCCATGATGGAAGCCAATGGCACTGCTCTGGATGCTCCCTGTGCTCTATGTTAGTGTAGCTTCCTTTATCTTTTGTTTGGTCAAACTTGAAGGAATCACTACTTCATTCAGACCAGGTTTTGGTGGCAGGGGAGACAGATGTGAGGAGCAAATGAAGCCTGGTCCAGGGAGATGTGGCACTGGGGCAGGGTCCCAGGTCCAGTGTTGTCTGCGAAGGGCAAGCATGGCAGCACAGAGCCCAGGGGCAGGTGAAGGGCCCATGGGCTCCTGGCTGGTAGCTAACTGCAGAAATGACTGTGAGAAGCAATTAGCCTAGACCTTCTCAGGAGCAAATAGCAGAACGAGAATCAGTAGCTCAGGTGCTGTTTGGTCCTCACTATTTAAGTTTGCAGCACTGTATTTCTCTTTGGCACTTTGGTACAATATTCAGAATGAGATGCACTTTTCTTGAGACAATTATGCCTTGAATAGCAATATCCCCAGTGTTTGTGTAGCAGCAATTACTGGGTAGCTCAAGATGAATGTGGGCTGCCTCCCGAGGCTTCCCACACTCCCAGGACTGCCTGAGGTCCACTGCCACAGCCATCACTCACTGGCTGGAGACCCGGAAACCACTTCTGCTCCTGGGTGCAGACTGAGGATGCTGTGAGCCTGGCGTGTAGTAAGCACCTCATCACTACTTCCTTGTTTACAGGGTTGCTCCTCCTGTTGCCCTGCTACTGTGTCTGCAGCAAGGCTGCTGCCAAACTTAGAAACATCAGAAGCAAACGCAGGGACCACAGAGTATGTGACCATGCCAGCTTCTCACGCTGCTTCTGGCCATACACGCCCCTGGCCTCTGGTCCAGCTCAGAGCCAGCCCAGGCTGCTCCCCATCTCTGTGTGGAGGCTGTGATAGCATAGGAAGAACTGGCAAGTGATGCTACCATAGGGTGGAAAGTCCATTTGGTGAGGGTTCTGTAAGCACCAAGTCCACAGAGGCAGCAAACAGCCAGAGCCTGATGAGGATAGAGGAGAAGCAGCACCAGCTAAGAGTTACTTCTGTATGATAAAAAAGCAAATCCACAGAAAAATGGACAAAATAGACAGAAAAGTTCTGAAAGGTATAAAAATGTGAGCTTGTGATTACAAACAGTCATTTTTCTAAGTTTGTTTTCAACCATTTACGTACAGGTGGAGGAAACATTTATTTGAAATCTATAAAACTGCAATCAAGCTCAAGAGTTAAGATGCAAAAGGAATTAAAAATTCAAAACAAATAAACCAACCAATAAACTAGGGAGTAACAATGCCAAGCAAGGAAATCAGAAAACTAGATGAAGATGATTTATAAAGAGACAGAAAAAATTCCTAGGGGCCAGGGATGTAGTTCTACCTGGTAGAGTGCTTACCTAGACTGCACAAGGCCTTGGGGATTCAATCCCCAGCACTCCTCCCTAGATAAATACACACACACATACAGTTTTTGAAAAACTGGAATTGGCCAGAGGTGAGACAAAGCAGAGGGACCCAACTCTCCCTAAGAGCAGTTGCCTAGGGGGCTAAGCCTTCATAAATACTGTTAATTTTCTAGGCCTATTATTGCAAGCAACCTTTTATTATTATTAACCTATAAATGTTGCAGAGCAGGCAGTTCCACCTCTTGAATGACAACTGACAGACACTTCCCTTATGCCTGGCTGCCTTGAGCGGGGAGCTGTCAACTGAGTAGCCCCTTTTTTTGATAACTGGCTAGACTGTTACCATGATATTCCAGCTGCAAAGAACACTTCACAGTGTTCAATGTTTATGGCAGAGAAAACTCGACCCCAGCAGTAAGGAGCCCTGCAACCATGGTGCTGTTAAAACTACAAAAAATTTCTGCTTTTGGAGGCATTGCTCTAATCACAACCGCTCCAGGAAATGGGCACCAGCTTTGAAAGACTACTTGGACTAGACAACCCACAAAGAACTTGAGATGAACAAAGTGCCAAACTTTAACAGTAGAGTTAAAGTCTGTTGCTTGCTCCTGAGGAGGTCTGGGCTACTTGCTTCTCACAGTCATCTCTGCAGTTAGCTACCAGCCAGGAGCTCATGGGCCCCTCGCCTGTCCCTGGGCTCTGTGCTGCAGTACTTGCTCTTAGCAGGCAAACACCAGTACCCCTATTCACACTACAGCTATTCTCAAGACGGGAGGGGGAACATGTCCCCAGAGACTCAGCGAAAAGCCTATGATTGCTGCAAGGATTGACTTGTGATTAGGCCCTTAAGGGAGACCTGTGATTGACCCTTATGTAAGGCTTGTGACTGGTAGAACTTGAAGCTGTACATATGCAAGGCTGTGAATGATGAAATTACACTCTTGGCAAAAGTATACCAGGCCCCTCTTCTGACTAAATAAACAGGCTATTTACTGCTCTTTTCAGGTTAGTGTGGGAGGCTTCTATCACCTGTGTGTCACCCCTCAGTATTCAACATTAGGCCCAATAAAGGCTTCTCCTGAATGGTCTCTCATCGTCAGAGCAGGCTCGATTGGTTTCACAAAGACCAGACAAGACCCTAACAGCAGTGGCAAGGACGCAGCTAAGAGTTCCAGGACCACCAAAAGCTAACAGCCCCAATACCCAAAGCACTGAGCTATAATACCAGGAGGCAATTGAAGAGCTTAAGAATGTCCTAGGGCAGAAACTATGCAGCTAATACTGTGAACAGAAGTATTGAGAAGACAAGAGGCTGTGAAAAGCCAAAGGCAGGAAGGAGCAAGTTCTGGTTGCTAGAAGAGTTTGAGAGCGCTGCCAAGGGTTAAGGAGCCAAAGGTCCCAACACCCAAAGCTCAGGAGCCTATAACTCTAGCCATAAGCCTCTGCCTTGAGTACTCAGAGAACTAAGCCTCTGGCTTTGAAAGCTGGGAACCATAAGCCTCTGGTTTTCAAGGCTTAGAACTATAAGCTTCTGGGTTTGGAAACACAGCTTTTGAGTCTCTGGAGCATGGCGCCACCAACACTAGGGAGCTGCTTTTTTCTTGTGATTTCTATCTAGATAGAGAAAAAGAACAGCCAGCCAGTCATTTGTAAAAGAGGCACCCGAAGACCAACCCTGGGGATGGGTGTCTGGGGCAGGTGGCTGGCCCTGCTGAGAGCTGAGGGCAAGGCAGAGAGCTGGGCCTTCAAACAGAGACTCATCCTGTCTCTCCCATAAATACAGTCTTGGGCCACACTTCAGCCTGTGGCATTCACTTTGGGCCCACCTTCCCTCTTCTTGGAGGGGTGGATGTTGGTTCTAGGGTAGCTATGAGGAGAGGACAAGGAACAGGAAGGAACTGTGTGCTCACACTGGCCTTAGGTCTCTCTAGCCTCCTTAAGCTGGAAGGCAGAGCTTTTCAGACTGAGGGTTACAGCCCATTTTGGTAAACTGCACACAACATTTAAGAAAAAGAGACAAGGCATAGAAAATTTCCCCAGGGAGAGCACACATATTTAGGATAAAGACTGTTCTACAAAGCCAGAGTTTCAGCTACTGGAGCACAGGTGTGTGGGGAGACATGTACACAATGTGGCTACAGAAGGAATACCTGACCGGTTCTGCCTAAGACAGGGCCCAGCCCGGCCCTAGACCATGCCAAGGCCAATTCTGGGATCTGGGTGAAGCTGTGGCTCTCCTGAAGCTCCTCTGTTGGCCTGGGTCCACAGAAAGGCTTCCCTCAGGGGCCCACAGGCTGGCTGCTCTCACTTGCGTGGTGAGATGCCTGGTGGTTTTGCCCAGAGGTATCTAGCAGCTCCCATCACTATGATTAACCAGTGCCCTGGTGAACCCAGCCTCTGCCAGCAAGGGCAGGTGTCCTGGGCAAAGGAACAGGGCACCTCACTGTTTTCTGAGATTCAGCATCAAACATCTGCTATTTGTGAAACTGAAGGGGAAGGTGTTACAGCGAGGACCCACACATGAAACTAGCAAGAACTTTACCAGACTTCAAGAACAAAACATGCAAGTTCCCTCTTCGAGCTGGAAGCCCGAATTCCCAGTGAGGCCACCTACCGGCCTTGAAGCTCAGCTCATCATGTTCTTGGCCCTCGTAGTCATAGAGGGCCCGGACCCGCACTTCTGTTCCTGAGGTGGTGTCCTCGTCGAAGGGATTAGAGTCCCCGTTGGCATCCGTGGAGGAGAAGGGGTTGTTAGACTCATCATCAGACCACTCGGTGGGGTAGCTCTGGGTCTTCTCATAGCTGCTTACACTGCAACAAAGAGGCTGACATGGGGCCCTTGGCAAAGGGCTGGTAGAGGTATGAGGTCTCTACCCAGAGCTCCCACCCTGAGAGGGGCAGGTGCAAGAGTCCTGGGGCTCAGGGCCAACGGGTCCTTTTGAGTGCGCACAGCTCCCTCTGGCATGACAACTAGGTAAAGCCAGGTCCCTATGAGCATTTGTGCCATCCACACTCATCCTGAGCCCCCAACAGAGGCCAGGGGGATTGAGGATGTCCCATAGCAGGGCCTGCAGAGGCAGACCTGGACCCATTCCAGCAGGTTCCCCAGCACCGGTGAATGTCTGTCTGTCTTCTTATGGTGGTGCTGCCGAGGCCTTGAGGGTTAATGCAGGACAGAAAAAAAAGCAACCAAAGAGTGTTAGCTGTGCCCTCCCCAAGAAGTGGAGAAACTAGATACTGTCCACCAGCAGGCAGCAGGCTTGGAGTGCAGAACAGCAGGTGCCCACTTCCTGCAGGCCTCATGCATTGCTGGAGTGCTGAGGGGTGAGACCCGAAGACAGACCCCTGGATAGAGAGAGAGGAAGAAGACAGAGCAAGCAAGGTGGAAGCCAGAGAGAAGCGTGTGTTCACCAACTTTTTGGCCTTAATGTCCTCCTTCTCACTGACGGTGCTGCCCGTGTCGTCCTCATCCTCGAAGGGGTTGTAGCTGGACTGTGACTGCGTGGACTGGGCAGGGTTGCTCGGGACACTAAGGTTGCTATGGGAAGAAAGAAAGCTTTCAGGGTCCTAGCTCAAGGCCCATGGGAGGGTCCTGGAGACTCCCAGCTGCAGGATCACAGTGCCAGCACCTCAAGGGTTACAGCAGTCTTCATCTGATGAGGGAGGATGTCGTGTGAACAGAAAACATTTTAGTGGGAAACGCAGCCATTACTTTGTCTGTTCAACACACTTCAAGCATGTAGAGTGAACAATATGCCCACTTTCTTCCCTTGCATCTGGAGGCATCAATGTAGAACAGGGGTGCTGGGCAAAGTGCCGGTCCACAGCTGGTACACAAGTAGTTCCTGGCTCAGGCATCTCCACAGCCCTCCCCCACCCTTATTCAATGTGGGGTTGAGCAGGCAGGGCAGAGACAGTGGAATATCTTGCAGAGGAGTGCTCCCCAGCACTCCCACAGTGTAGCTCCCAATTCTTTCTGGGGCTGGAGCTTCCAAAATCAGGACCAACACAACCTTTTCCAGGGAGAAAAAAGGTTACTTTAGTGCTCCAGAGTCAATCCATCCACGCAACTTCACCAGCCATCTCCTATATACCAGGCCAAGTGGACACCAGAGAGGCTGAGAGTCAGGGAGAGACTGGGGGGTATAGGATGAAGGAGCTGTAGGATGCTGAGCAAAAGACGGGGGCAGAGAGGGGGGGTCAACATAAGACAGAACAGAAAAAAACACTGACATCCACTTATGCACCTGGCCTCTCTCACCCAGAATGGCCTCTGCCTCCATGTCCAGGGCTTTGGGAAGTAGGCGCTCTAAGCTTGGGCATCTGCCACCCCAGAACTGAGGAAGGGAGGCCTAGAAATACCTCACATGCAACAGAGGGACGTGAGTGGCTAGCAACTGCATTCCACATACAGGAAGATGTCTGATACCACTAGGCCCTCTACCCTAATTGGCTCCCTTCTCTAGCTGACTTTTCTGAAGTGCTTGGTGCTTGGCAGCTGAATTGGTACTGTGGTCCTGGTGAGCCTAGAACCCCCAAGGGTTTCCCCTGAGGCTTGTCGTTCCCTCCTCCCATCTCAGCACACGAGGGGCTGGCCTGATCCTAGGCAGTCATAGCTGAGCCCCCTGCCCAGACCATGAGCACAACAGCTGTGTCCAAGGGAGTCTGGGAACATAGTGCCTGGGCCATTGGCAGGCCATGGGAACCTGGGCTCAGCCATTTTGGGAAGCCCCAGCCACAGAGGGCTCTGGGTAGGAAGGCCTCCTACCAGCACATACTTTCAAGAAGATTCTAATGACCATGGTTGTCCCTCCTACCCACAACTCATTTTGGAATTTTTTTCTTCTTTTTTTTTTTGGAGGGGAGCAATACTGGGGTTTGAACTCAGGGCTTCACACTTGCTAGGTAGGTATTCTACCACTTGAACCACTCTGCTAGCTCTCCACAACTCATTTTTAGACAAAAACTAAGTAAAAAACAGCCAACACCATCAGAGAGAGGGTGATTTGAAAGGGGACATCTGCTAGTCCTTCCCTAGCCCCCACTGACTGGTGTGAGCACATAACAGGTAAGCACCAACCATGTAAGTACTGAATCACCAGGAGGGTTCCAGCAACACCATGCCTCCACCTGCCATGCCCATGCAGGGCACCACCACTGGGGACATGAATGACCGGCCCCATCACCAGTGTGTCTCTCAACTGGGCAAGATGCATGCTTGTGGCAAAGGCTCCTTCTGGGACTTTTCAGGAGCTCCAGCACCAGGTGGAAACATCACTTTGAGAGATGCCCTTGGGCCACCACCCAGAGTGCTTCTGGGAAGACATCCTGAGGGTCCCTGCCCCACTGTGCAACCTACCAAGTGTCCAAACTGCTGCCATTCTAGGACCATGCAGATGACACAGAGATCCTTCCTACCTCCCACAAGATGGCCTCTTGGATGGAGGCTGTGCCTGGGGCTCACCTGCTGGTCTTGTTCTGCATAGATTGGTCACCAGTCTGGTTGATGCCTGTCAGGGTGACACCATCAGCAGCCTTCTTTTTCTCTCTCCGGCTGAGAGTTCGATTCAGATCTGCAGACCACTCCTGGGCAACAGGGGCATTTGGGAGGTTCATTTGTTGGAAGGCACCGTGTCTGAAACATCCACCCAGCCAGCAGAAATCTGCCCTGTGCAGTTACTGACATTTAGCTTGTGGCCTCTGCTCTCCCTTGTTTCCCAGAAGACCTCAGGCTACCCAATAACCACCTGTGGGACCAAAGGACCTGAAGGTCAGCATCTTTACAATTACAGAGCCCTTCCCTGTGGAAACCCCATTTCCCCAGATAGCACACTTTCCAGGACATGAGGGTAATAACAGAACGAGGAGGTGACAATTGCTATCCTTTATTCCAAGCCCCAGAACTCCCGGTACCATCCTCTGTCCACCATGGCTCTTAGCGTCCAGCACGCTCCATGCTAATATGGGCTCCAGTAACCTCACCAGGTATCCTTTGAGCCTCCTAAGTAGATAGGGGCCAGCCCTCTGGGGAGCCTAGCTGGGGCACACCAACTTGTCTGGAAGTGCTGAGGATTCTTGCCATTTGTCTTAAATTCTGGGTCACAGGGTGGACAGCTGACTGCAGGGACCTGAGAAGGACTGTGACATAAAATATTAAACCCTAGAATGCAAATAAATCCAGGGCTGTGTGGGCATGCATGACCAAGGGGCAGACAGGTGGGCTCTGACCTCTTAAGTCTCCAAGAGGCCCTATTCTGGTATGTCTGCCAATTCAGACCATTTCCCTTTCAATCGGAGCTACAGACTGGTGGCTAACAAAGCAGAGCAGAGGGCTCATCTCCCTGAGGCTTATTCTTTTCCCAGAAATCAACAGGCTTTTATCAACTGTGCAGAAACACACAAGGGAAAGAGGAGGTAGGTCTTGATTTTCCAGAAAAGCCCATGCATGTGCCACACATGAATTCTCCTTCCTTCCCACTTATCAAACAATTGCAATTAGAACTCAGTTTGAGGGCTAGGCATGTAGCTCAGTGGTGGAGCACTTACCTAGCATGGGCAAGGCCCCAGGTGGGTTTGATACCCAGCACTGGAAACAAAGCAAAGCAAAAAACAAAAACAAAAACAAAAATTGTGTGGCTCCACAGCTTTACTTCCACTTATAGAAAATCAAGGTCAAAAGTCGTATTGGAGACATCAAGCCTTTCAATTCATCACATGAGGGAACTAGACCCAGAAAGAAAAAGGGACTGGCCTATACAGAGGAGGTGGCAGACCTGCAGCCTGACTCCAACTCCAGGTTGCCTTATCTGTTAATGACCCTCTTGATGGAAGTAAGTAGAGTAAGAACTCAGAATTTTGGAGTTCCCCGTGGTGACCTCTGAATACAAATCCACTCTGATGAGGCAGCTTCCAAGGGCCAATGCAATCAGCATCAAGCAACTTTGGAAGACAGAGTCAGATGTTTACAACCCTGACGCAAAGCTGCATTGGCTGCTTTGCTGTAGAGCTGGAGAGCCAGGGGACCACTGCACATGTAGGGTGGTGTGGGCTGACCACACGCAGCAGGGGGCTTAGCGATCTATGAGTTAGCCATAAAACAGAAACTTACTTCATCCTTGTGGCATGGAAAATAGAAACAAATAATTTCATTAGAGAAAGTCAGGCATGGTCCTGTAACAACCACAAATACGTGCACGAGGAACACAGGAGTGCTGGTTCCCAGCCTGGGGCCACACAGAGAGAAGGAACCCACAGTCTCTGCGCTGGACAGTACATCTGTGAGACAGCCTGTCAACTAACTGCTCCTCCCCTCTGTTCTTATGGGTATCAACAGGCACCTCTGAGGGATCCAGGGCAATTTCACACAGTGCCCCATGCCACTCTACGGCAGCAAACATCCACTGTGAGCTGAAATCCCAGGATGCATGAGACTCCACTCAGCATGCTTCTTCCCAGTGAGCTTTCCCAGGGGAGGAAAGGCTGGCTCTTTCCTTTAGGGCCACTTCCACTTGGGAAGGCCCTGATCTCCAATGGTCTCCTACGGCCCATTATAAAGGGCATAGCCAGCTCTGCAGCCTTCTGATTAGTGAGTATGGGGGATGTACATGGCCCACACAGGCATTTGAGAGACTTTGTGAAGGGCCACAAAACAGAAGTGCAGGCTAGGGCCTGATACAACTGCAGGCTGAGATGGAGCCAAGGAGCTTGTGGTGGGCCCAGGACAGCACCAATAACACAGCATGGACCAGGTCACTTCCCCCCAACAATCCAGGTTGTCATTCCAATTTCACACATGAGAAAACTCAGTCCCACAGGGGATAAGTGGTTGTTCACATTCCTTACCTGAGAAGTGTTGAGGTAGGAACCAGATGCAGCCCAGACTCTGGCCACTAATGAGTCCGGAGTGGGCCACCTTCAGTTTCCAACCAAGGGGAAGCATCAGCCCCCACCTTATCGACCCGCCCCAGACCTTTTGGGATACCTCATGCTCTGCCCATTATAAGAATGGAAGAATTTCTCTTATAGGGAACATGGGTAGCAAGATTTCTGGCCACTCCTACGAGGGAGTAAGGAGGGATGGTAACCCAATCCTAGCTGGACAAGCCTCAAAATCCTAGCCCCTCAAATTTTGTAATGTAAAAACATTGGGTGGCTCAGATCCACAATGGGAAAAGAGTCAAGAGCATCCTGAACCACAATTGGGTAGAGTTTTTGCCTGAGGTTCAGAAAATCCCCAGGGGAAGTGTGAAAAGGGCTGCCCAATGATACTTGCTCCCCTCTGCTGCTCCCTTCCTAGTCAACCCACAGGGTGGGGCAGAACCTGAGCTGTGTGTCCAGAGGCTCCTGGGACACTAGGAAGGGAGTGCCAACCTGACAATTCACATTGGTAACTAGACACACATACTCGCGGAAGGCTGTCAGTAACACCTACAGTGCCTGGGACTCCAAACAAGCACTTGTACTGCTGCTATGCAAAAAAAGCCTGCCTAATAAGCAGGGCAAATGCCAACACAGCACGTGGAGTACAGCGTAACTCTGTGGGCCCAGGTGCCCAACCAGGAGGTCATAGTCACAGGCACACAGCCTCTTCTTACCTCAAACTGTGGCCAGTTCATGGCCATGCCTGGCCCATGATTGGCTCGGAACCACCTTAGGTCCTCCACGGCATCAGCTGCTTTGATGCTCTGTTCCAGGTCACGGTAAATGGCTTTGTAACTAAAAATCAGAGACAGAAGGACAACTCTATAGAAGGCAGGGACCAGCCACCATTCATCCCAGGCCATTGCAGGCTCTGTGGTCTCTGCAGCCCATACTAGAGTCCAATTCCCAGACACAGCTCAAGAACACCCTCCCCTGGCTCAGGGGAGGACACCTGGTTGCCAAGTGTACAGAAGGGGACAAATGCCCACCACAATTTGGCTTCCAGCAATGAACTTTAAATCAAACCAGGTGGCAGCCATAAGCTTTGCTCTGCATCAGATAATGTGTGTGGGCTGTGTGAGCAACGTGGTGTGGTTCCACTGAGTGAGGATGAATGGAGGATGGGGCCACTGTAGAGTGTCAAAAGGTGCATGCATCCAATAATTAGAGAAGTTGGAGGTTTAGGATCAGATGTGCAAGACTGCCAGAGCTGCAGGACCCAGGGGCAGAAGACCCCACTGCTGTCATGAGGCCTTTGCTTGGTGGATCTACCCAGCATCTCCTCCCAGGGGTTAGGAGCACAGATCATTGAGTGGACCTATATTTTTATTTATGATCTAAAAGGCTAGCAAATAATTTGCCTTCTCTAGGCCTCCATTTCTTCCTCTGTTGAGTGGACATAACAGCCTCTGTTAAAGACCAAATTGTATACTCTAAAAAAGGTATGCTGGAGTCTTAACCCCAGGACCTCCAAATGTGACCTTATTTGAAAACAGGGTTTGTTTGTTTTTCATTTTCTGAAAGTGCTGAGTTTTGAACCTGGAGTCTTAGACATACTAGGCAAGTGCTCTACCATCGAGCTTCATCCTCAACCTTGAAAACAGGGTCTTTACGACATGATTAAGTTAAATGAGAGTATTAGGGTGGCCCTTAATCCAGCAGGAGTGGTACCTCATCAAAAGGAGAAATTTGGACCATATACATACAGAGGGAAGACAAAGTGAAGACAGACAGGAGAGATGGCCAGAGGAGTAGAGTGAGCTGGCGACAGAGGAAGAAGCTGAGAACAGAGATGACAGAGGAAGGAAGGATCTACCCTGGAGCCTTCAGAGGTAGTGCGGCCCAGGCTATACCTTGATGTTGGACTGCTGGCCTCCAGAACTGAGAAATATTCAATGTTTGTTGCTTGAGCTGCACAGATCTTGGTATTCTGTTAGCGCAGTTCTATGACCGAACAATGCCACCTACTTGTGAAACTAAGGGAGATAAACTGTGCCCAGTCCTGCCAGTACCCAAAGCCAATCACATACACAGTGGGAGTTACTACATCAGAAGAATGGGACACAGTCTCAGCCCTGTCCCCAGCCAGCTATGAAGCAGTAGCGGGCAGGTCATTTCATCTCACCCAGCCTCAGTTTCCTCATAAATAAGATGGGGACAATGCTGCCTACTCTATAGGGCTGTCATAAAGATAATGGAATGGTGACAGAACAACTATGTAATAATAGCTGCTTAAAAAAATTTTTTTATAATGACAACTATAAAGGAAATGTAATTTCCTATTGACAACAACACTTAACCTGCAATTCATTTCTCAATGGTTCTGCCAGACACGTGACAGAAGTAGATGTCTGTGTACGCCCCCACCAGTCTGGACCTCTGCCCTGATGCAGGCACACTGGGCCCAAAGAGGAGAGCACAGAAGAAACATAGCTCCCCTGTCACAAGTCAGGAACGAGTCTTGCAGGGTCCTACTTCCCCTGGGGACCTAGGGCCACTGAGAACGCAAGGGAAAAGCTGGCAGCAAGGATTAGAAGGACCTCATAAAGGTCTTCAACGTAAGCCAGTCCTGGAGGCAGGGCACATGTGGCCTTCCCAATAGAGGGTGTGCGGCTGGTCCTGGGTGGTAACAGAACGTGAAGCCCTTCCCCTTCCTGTGCAGACCCATATGCAGAACAGGCATGGGAGCCCCATCAGGTCTTTTTAGGTCCTAGAACACTGCATAGGCTGGCTGCACACAGACAGGCTCAGCACAAGGGCCTTCTGGGCATCAGAAGTGTGGCATGAGAAGCACTCTGGCTAACTCTGCCACCCCAAGGCTGTTGTACAACACCTGACTTTAATTCAATAGCAACTTCCTCTGACTTCACCCCAAGGGAAACTTACCCAGCCACATTGGACAAGTCCAGGTGCTTCTGAACCTCCAGCAAAACCTCTCGGAAGAAGCGTAGGCGCTTCTCTTCAAACTGCTGGCACTGCTCAAACACCTGCTCCATGTTCTCCATGTACTGAGGAGTGGTCTGGTCAAGCTCCTTCAGAGCCTTCTCATACTTTTCTTTGGTCTAAACAAAACCCAGGCACAAAAGAGAAGTTCATTTTCATTCCACACTCATTCACCCCACCCATCTTGTACCTTCCCAGGTCTCCCCAGAGCAGGAGCTCTGGAGTCTGAAAGACTTCAAGTTCAAGGTTGCTCCTCCATGGCAAATCACATTCCTAGCACCTGCTCTACTTCTCACTGGAGCAACACCCAAACAGGTAGACACAGGTGAGGGGGTAGTTAAGCTGGAGTTTGTGTGGCCACAAGCATGTCACATGTCATCTCTGCCTGTGGGGAAGAGCTGTGCTGGGCCAACCTGGAGGCTTGGACCTGGCCACCAGGTCCTTGGAAACAAGGTCATGGCTTTAAGTGCCAGATGGGGCTGGGGCCAAATTCTGGAGGTCTCTCTCATTTGTTGGAGCCTCCTTTATTAGAAAATGGGGATACATCCTGCCCCCAGCACAGGCCAGGTACTGAGCAGGGTCGTCACTATTCAGGAAATCCCGTAACAGAGAACATGGAAAGTTCCCAATGAACATTTACAGACTGAAATGGGAGGCAGCCTTCACACTGATGTGGGCTAGGATATTCTGGCAATGAAGCAAGAACTTCCTCTCTGATGAATATTACAAGATGCAGACCCTGCCTGGCCAGGAAGAGACATGAAAGTCTGGGTGTAACCAGTCAGCACTGGCTAGTACAAGAGGGGAGGAATTTTACTCCCTTCCACCACTCTTAGTCCACAAGGATCATTCAGGCGCTGAGGTCACTGACAGAGAGGGTGTCAGAAGGAAATGCCCCGTTACAAAATGCCCCAGTCCCTTTGATAGACACTTCACGTCTTACCTTGAACCCAGGGCCTGTTCTGCCAAAGATTGTTTTGCTGGTATCTCTTTTGGGTGTTTGTAAAATATGAAAGGCCATCTTTTCCTTCCTCCCTAACCCCCCTCCCACCCCACAACTTGACATGGAGTTTCTTCTAAGTGCCTGATTCCCTGGCTTCCTGGCAAAGGCAACAGAGTTCCCCTGGGCCTGTGTTTCTTAAGCCTCTGTGTTCCCCTATCCAGTAGGTAGACTAAGGTTACTTACCTGATCCCATAGTGGAGGCATCTTAGGCTGCTCCAAAATCCCCAAATTCTTGAACCCAGACCCAGCAACAGGTGCTGTGTTTGACAGTGTTCCCCCAAGGGATTCTGAGTTTTCTCTGAGTGATGGAATTTCGTGGAGATAACATTTTCCCCACTAGGCTGACTACACAATAGTGAGGAATAGGGGAAGGGTACAGGCTCTGGGATCAGAATCCTTGTTCTCACGTATGCAATGTGAATAACCTCCCTGTCTCCTATTCACAAAGCAAGGGAATAACCACTTAACTCATAGGGGTGCAGTGGCGCCTATCTGAGGTCTGGAAAGGCTTGTGGGCAGCTATGAATCCACTCAGGACTCCTGCCTCACTCCAACTGCTCCTGCAGACCCAGAATGGCCAGATCACAGAGGCAGTGAGGCATGCCCTAGGCAAGGGCATCCTCTAGCCCCTATCTCTTACTACGGGGGAGGAGTGGGAGGTATGCTGAAGTCCTAGGAATTTTTTTTTTGGTTTCTGAGATAGGGTCTTGCTATGTATCCCAGGCTTACCTTGAACCCACTCTGTATCCCAGGCTGGCCTCAAACCCTTGCTCCTTCTGCCTTAGCCTCCCAAATGCTGGATTCATAGATGTGTGCAAAAACACCCAGCCCCAGAAACTTTTAAATTACAAGATGCTGTCTAGTATTTAACTCCTGTGACTCTGGGCGTCATATCCGGGGGGAAGGGCACTTAAGCTTACAAAGTGCTTTTACAAAACCATCTCTCTCATTAAGAAGGCAGGTAAACCTTTTCCACAACAGAAACACCAGGGCCCACTCACTGGCTCTTCTTAGCCAAATGCCACTGCCCTTCCACCCCAGCTCTGCCATGTTCCAAGGGCAGCTCCATCCCCTCTCCCAGCCCTCACTTCCCTATGGCTCCCAGATATTCCCTCCTGTCCTCCATTCACTCTACTTTACTGGGTAAGTCTCTGTCTACAGTCCTCTTTCCATACTTCTAAACTGGTCTGGCCCTCCTTACCTCTGTTCTCCCCACCCCAGGCCCCAGATCTTCCTCAGCAGCATTCCAAGCTCCTAACTCCACCCGTCTATAAAGGCCACAGGCAATTTGGGACTCATAACCCTCCATGCCATTGTCCATACCCATTCCCACCTCTGTATTGCACAATCTGCTGCTCCCAGTGGCAACCAGCTGCTTCAAGATTTCCTGGGAAGCCACCACACCACCTTGCTCTCCTGAACACAAGGATCAACTGTTCCCCTGCCAGCCCAGCACTTGCCTCATTTGAGACAGACATATGGCTGTGGTAAGGTCAAGTGCTAAAGCGTTCATCTGTGTGACCTTGAGGGCAAGAATGTATTTTGCTGATGTTTATCCTGCTATCCATCCATTCAACCAAGCAGTTGCAAAAGGCTTACTATGTGGCAGGTATGTAAACAAGTGACCGGCTGACACTCAACAAGCAAAACAACTGTAGGATTTACCTTCAGAACATCTTGCTTGCATTTTTCTATTTTGTCTTGCAATTTCTTGAGCTGCTCAGGGTTTAGGGATGGATCTGCTTTGCTGTTGGCTTCTCGGGAGATGGCCAATTTCTCTTCTTTGCATGCGGTATGGTGGGCTTTTTTTGCTGCTTCTACCTACAAGGAGAATGAGTTCTGAACATCATATTGCTGAAAATTCAGTATCTTCTTCAGAGATTACACAGACCATGGGAGTATATGTGTTGTCAAGATAAGAGGGAAAAGCAGGAACAAACTGTATGTACTCTATCACTACAATAAGCTATAACAAAGGACCTCACTCTACAAATATTTACCAAGTGCCTGCTCTGTGTCATGCATGGTTCTAGGCACTGGGGACACAGCAGAGGACAAAAGAACCTTATGTTCTTTCACGCTTCTTTCATGAAGCTTAAGTTCAAGTTGGGTGAGCATAATGCAGGAATAAATTAGAAGGTGTTAAGTGCTAGGAAGAAAATAAAACAGGGATGAGAGACAGTGAACACCCGGGGTGGGCAGAGAGAATTTTATATTAAATGGTTCAAGAAAGCTAGATGAGATGACAAAGAGTAAAAAATGAGGAGGAGGTACCTAGGGAAAAGCATGCTAGGATAGCCAACAGAAAGAAAGTTCCCAAAGAGAAACCTCACATGAGTGGGAGGGCTGTGTTAGGGAGGCAAGGGTGCTGGGCAACATTTTCCATGGAAAATTATTATTATTATTGTTATTATTTTTTTTGAGATGAGGATTTGTTATGTTGCCCATTGTGGTCTCAAATTTCATGGGCTCAAATGATCCTGCCTTCCGAGTAGCTGGAACTACAGGTATATGCCACCATACCCGGCAACCATGGTTTTAATGGCTATTCACACACACACACACACACACACACACACACACACACACACACACACGTATGCAAACTGATTTAACAAATGTTTCCTTATTTGAGACAAAGCCATAGACTTCATTCTAGAGAGAAAGGGGAGTTCATACCAATGTCCTCATGAAAGGGGACACAGTTTCATTATAAATGGGTTTTGGGTCAAGAGGGAAGAGAAAGGAGACATGGCAAAAGCCAAGATGTAGTGACTAAGAGAGCCTCCAAAGACAGAGGTGCTCTGGATGATTCTGAGTAAGAAGGCAGCACAGCTTGTGAGAAAAGTTGGTGGAGAGCATGATATGTACAATGAGGAATGGGGGCCATGCTGCAGGTAAGATAAGGCCCACATACTAAAGATCAGGTTGGCTGGATGACAGCCTCCAGCTAGCCAAGGACTTGCAAGAAGACTCAATGACTTTGGCTGATACTTTCAGAAAAGGACTATCAGCATTGTTTGCAAATTTGGGAGAAAAACCCATGCAAGACAAAGAGCAAAATTAAATCAATCCTTTCTACTAGTCCAAAGGGTCTTCTAAACCTTTGTGGCAGAGAACGCCCAAGACTGTGGGAAGGAATTTTAGTGGATGAGAGCTTGAGTTTAAAGCTCTACCATTTATGTGCACATCTGATCCTGTTCCAGTCTGCAAAATAGGTTGCTAAGGACTAAAGTTAAAGAATGCTCATAAAGCACCATGTCTTGGACCAGAGTAAATGTCAGCCACCCTGGCTTCAGGCCTGGGGATGGCTTTTCCTCTACTAGCTGTGGCAGCTACAGGAGTCCCTGAGAATGTAGGGAGGGAGCAGTGCTGGAGGAGCCACCAAGACAGAGCCCTGTGGGAGGAAGGCACCTCTTTCAGCTTCTTGGCCCAGGGCTTCTGGGCCTTCCGGAAGCCGTCCTCTGCTTCTTTGGTCTCCTTGAAGCCCCCCATCATCTGCTTGTGAAAGGCTTCCTTCTGCCAGTTCTTGATCTTCTCAAAGTCCTCATTCATCAGCGAGGCTTTCACCTCTAGGTGCAGCTCGCTCACCTTCTCCGCCTCAGACATGACGGCCATCCAGGCCTTCTCCACGGTCCCATACTGTGGTCCTGGCACAGGAGAAGAACTGGGTTACTCAGTCCTGGCTGGCAGTGGCGATTTTCTGTCAACCCTGCAGCTATCCACATTGGAGTTGCCTTGGCAACATGCATCTCCTTTTTTAAAGCAACTGAGTTCTGTAAAAACTAAAATGTTTTCCTTTAGGAAGCCTTAATTAAAGTGGCCAGAGAAGGGGGACCTTCTAAAGTAAGCTGACCCCTCTCCCTCTCTCTTCCAGGGTGCTCTGTATGCCCTCCCCCCATCCCACCCCAGTGTGGGCCACTGTTATGCGCTGCCATGAATAACCCGGCCCAGAGCAAAAGCCTGAAAAAGTTTGTGGTATGGAGGAACATCTCCTTAGTAGAGGAAGCCTTGTCTGCGGGGGAGGAAGGAGGAGACAGGGACCTGCGAAGGCCCATATAGAACTCTCTGGAGTGCACAATGGGTCACTTCACTCTGTCTTTGTGGCTCTCAGTCCACAAGGCTCAGGAAGGAAATTTTTTTCCCCTGAATCTCTGGGCCTTGCATTTGCTAGTCAAGTGCTCTGCTGCTTGAGTCACAGCCCCAGTCCTTTTGTTTATAGTTTGTTTTTTGAGATGGGGTCTCACTTAAGTTTGCCTGAGTTGGCCTTGAATTCACAATCCACTTGCCTCCAGAATACCTGGTATTACAGGCATGTACCACCATGCCCCACTCAGGAAGGAAATTTAATTGGTGGTGTCACTGTGGGGCAGGGTGGGGAAGGGAGAGGGCTCTGAAAAAAAAAAACAGGGTGGAAAAAGAGAGACCTGGGCTGGTATTTGAGGTACTCAGAGAATGGCAGTGACTAAGCAGAGAAATAACAGAGAGAAGTGAGATACACAAGTGAAGGGCTTGGGGATGGCAAAAGTGTGACCCCTCTGAGTCTCTAATCCCTTGGGACTACAAGATGAACATACTCCTCGTCCTGCCTTGATCAACAGCACTATATACTGACCAAGGAAAGAGGACAAGAGTTCAGGGCCTGTGTTTGGAGGGTATACATAGGGTGGCAGGGTAATGCCAGTGGCTAAAAGGAGACTCAAAGGAGATGAAGTAGTAACAGTTATTGCTTGCAGAAGGGAATTAACTTGTCCCCAAGACTCCTTTCCGTGCAGGGCGTTTCACAGCCTGGGCCCCAAACCTAAACCAGACTGTGCTAAGCCCTCCATGACCTGCTTCAGCATGCAGGCGAAAGGACAGGCAGTTGCTTAAGGCATGGCTGAGTTGTCACCTGGGAACCTAACTCTCCTCCTATGTGGTTCCTTTGAAGTCAGTTGGCCATGATGGCAGAGTCTGCCTCAAACAGCCTGAGAAGTTCCAGGAAACTGCTTCTGTCCCCAGAAGTCTTGTCATCAATCAAGCTCCCCTCTAACTAGGAAGAGGGTTCCACCTAGACAGTGGCATCTGTCACTAAGCCTCAGAGGCCTCAGAGCTTATAGTGGGTAAGGAAGGGGCAAACTTCCACCACAGAATACTTATGGTCACTCCCTTAAAATTCAAAGCTAGGCAGCCAGTTAGTTGTCACCATGCAGTCTGGCATGCTACATGGCCAGGCTGAAAAGTAAACAGCTCTTGGCATTGCAAACCAAGGTGCTGAGCAGCAAGGCCTATGGCTTGACAGGAACTTCCTCAAGTTTTGGCCCATAGCAGTGGTTATTTTCCTGTTCTGAGTTCAGCTGAGATGCACAAATGTGTCCTGTGGACAAAAAGGGCTGTAAAAGGCAACTTGGGCTGCTTGCAAAGAGCATTCCAGTACTTCCAAGGAAAGAGAACAAAAGTTCAGAGCCTGTGTTTGGTGGGTAATGAGTATCCTGTCCCCTCCCATAATAGTCAGAGTCCTAAGAACTGCAAGACACACTCCTGGCCCAGAGAGAAAAAGACTTGCCTAGAGCCCCCTGCAGGTGAGTAACTGGTGCCCCTGCCTCTGGCATCTGTACCTTTCTCCACGAGCTGCTTCCAACGCCGTGCCCACTCTGTGAGCTGCTGTGCATATGCCTTCTCAATGCGTGCACGCTCGTGCACACAGTTCATGAGGTCACTGCACAGGCGGTGACCATCCTCAATCCGCTTCACAGTCCTCTTGTAGTTCCCAACCTGTGAGACAGAGACATGTGAGGAGGGCAACCAGGGCAGCCATCCACCTAGAAACACCTTGCAGGAGTGGGGAGCCTGCCTTTTGCTGGGGCACAAATGGCCTTTATCCCAACCGGCTCCCCGATGTTTACCCAGAAGGTTATCCTGGCTCCCTGGTCTGAAAAGCACCCTGCATTGCAAGACACCAAGCCTCCCTTTTATTATGAACAGGGACATACATTCAGCTGACCTGAGCTTCTCAATGTACTCCAGGTCAGGTACTAAGCAGAATCTAACCAGGGAGGCAGACCAGCAAAGTGCAGGGCTGAGGATGCCTGATGGGACCCCTCATGCACACCAAAGAGCCAGGGATGGCTTCCCAGACAGAGTAGATGACGTCTAGCTAAACTCTTCGGCTTTGACATCATCATCACATGCTGTGTATTAGCACTACTTCCCAATTATAGCAAGAAGCATTATCCTCACTTATTGAGCTCCTACTATGTGCCAGGTACTATACTCGACATTTCTTACCTCCAAATACTGTCATCCCTGTCCAGGAAGAATAACTGTCCCCATTTCACAGATGAGGAAATTCAGGCTTAGAGTTACAGAGTCTACTAAGATCCCACAGCTACAGTGGCTGGACTAGAGCTGAAGGCAGTTATCCAAGCAGTTCCAGGTATAGGACAGTCTGGATGGCAAAGCTCAGACTCTTACTACTTGGTTAAGAGCAAGTTGAATTTTGACTACTTTTTTTTCACATATGAAAAAAGAAACTAACTCATCTAAATTAGGAATAATAGAAAATGTTACAGGCTAATTTGGGATGAAATCACAATGTTCAATATGTCTCATCCTTTGAGGCTTAGACTTGGATAGGTACGGGCAGCTGACACTGGAGAACCCACAGGAAACAGTACAGAAAATGCATCTATTATATTGTCATCCTTTTCCTCCCAGTCTTCAGAAATCTTAGCTCCTCTCTTATTCATTTTGTCTTTTCTCATGGTCTTTACCTGGTGGATCATCCACTACTCTACTTTCTCTTTGCTTAGCATCAGTCTGAAAGCTCCTGTTTTTGCAGAATGGAGTGCAGCTCTCTCTGCAGTGCTGCCTGTGATGCTCCTGAGTCTCCTATTCTAAGCTGAGTTAATCAGGTGAGGAAGAAGGCTTGTGGAGTATCTATCTGACAGGCATGGGGGAGATCTTGCAAAGGGACCTGAAGGCAGGTGGCCTGGGCAGCCTTCTGCAGAGCCCTGGCATAATTTCTGCCCTGTGCTGAACACATCATCATTCCCTCAACAGACCCCTCCTGGCCTAGGCAGGCCAAGCAGCAACTCCTCAGCAGGCAGTTCAGCAGCTCATCAAAACTCAGGGCTGAATTAGAACTGAGGGTCCATACTTCAGCAGCTCCCATGGAAGGCAAGCACAGCACTTTCACAACCCAGTGAAAGTGACAACACATGCCTGCTTCCTTTAGAGTGGGGCCTAGTGGTCATTTTGAAATTTACAATAGGAGGTAAAAGATACCCTCAAAACACAACTCAGTATTGCTGAGTTGGAGGCAAGAATAGCAAAGATAATCACAGCCCTAATGGAGCCTCGATGGTCACCATGAAACTGCCATGCAAAGTGGGTTTTGGGTTTTCATCTCCCTTTCCCAATAGTACTCAAATTGGCGATCACTATCCACATTTACTCTGGAAACCTGCCCATTTCTCTGACTTTGAAAGCCCTTGGAAAAAAGATTTCAGGAAAAAAGGCTACTTGCTAACAAGTCATGTGTTGGTGTAATCCATCAGTACACACAGCAGCTGCAGTTCATATTTAAATAACTCTTAAACCTGAAGGGGCAGCCATGAGTATGGGAAGGCTGTCTTAACAAGCAGCCTTCCAGTAGTCCTGGAAGTGGTAGAGGAGTCAGTCTGAGCTAGCCCTGTGACAGCTGCTGGGGACAGGCAGTGGACTAACTAGGCACAGAGCCACGGGGAGAAGGGGTGTACCATATAACAGGCACCAAAGACACTCCAGCAACATTAGCCCCAAGGCCCTCTGTTAAGTGGAATGGTTGGATGGAAGCTTATGACAGGCTCTTGCTTTAAGCCTCCATCTCTATAAACAGCTGGTGATAGGGCTGAGGGCATGGCTCAAGTGTAGGATGTCTACCTACCAAGCCCAAGGTCCTGAGTTCAAACCCCAATACCATTACCACAAACAAACAAACAAACAAACAAAACCACTAGTGACAGAGCAAAGTGTCCTTCTCATTCCCTGAGCAAGATGCTGCTGTTGTCTTAAGAGGCACAGCTGCTGCTGCTGGCTGTTTTTCCAGATTGAAATGGAATCTGACACAGCCAGTCACCCTTTGCTGGGGACAGGTAGACCACTTCAGGCAGATGTGTACCCTCATACAAGGTGCACAATGTTTCTATGTCTGTACCACACAGACCTACAACCACTGATTCAATTCCTATCCTTTTCCAGGATGGGCAAGATACACGGAACAGACTGGCTTCTGTCATCACAACGCTGTTGAGATTTATTCATGTTGTTGCCTCTGTCAGTTGTTGTCTTTTTGATTGCTAAGTAGTATTCTATTGCATGGGTATGTCACCATTTGTTTATCCATTCATCTTGCTGAGAGCATTTAGGTTGTTTTCACTTTGGGGTGATTAAAAAGAAACCATCAATATTCATCTAGAGGTCTTTGTGTGGGTGGATGCTTTCATTTCTCTTGGGTGAATACCTAGGGGTAGGAATTGCTACATGACATGTAAACCAGTAACAAAACTGCCAAACTATTATCCAAAGCAGTGCACGGTGTTAGCATTCCCATCGGCAACCTATTAATTAGTGTTGTGGGGTTTGTCTGCAAACTTCAGCCATCCTCTTTGGGTGCAGCAGCATCCCACTGTGGCTTTAGTCTGCATCCCCACTGTCTAAGGACACTGAGTGTCTTCAGTGGTGGCTATCCACCTCTGTGGACCTTCTTCAGTCAAGTGTCTTCCTTTCCTCATGTATTTTTAAGGTCAAGGCATAATGGTGACTGGTTTTTCAAATGCAAGAAAATCTTCACATATTTGACAACTGATCATACGTGAAAATCAGGAAATACATGGCTACTTATTTCTGCTCTACCAATTCTGTAGCTGAAGAGTGCTCGTTCACTTTCAGAACATTAGCTTGTGGAGATGGCTAAGTGGCAGTGAGCTTTACCTAGACTGCTATGGAAATAAGCAAATTTTGTTCCAAACCATTGATTGACTAGTTCACAAAATACCCATTTTTGAGCTAGGTCTGAAGCTATCTATGTTCCAATTTCACTAAGTTCAGGCTCAAAGGTAAATGCTCACTATCTGGGTGCCCCTCTGCTCCCCTGCAGGACTGCATGGTGTGGGAAGGCCAAGCAATACTTGCCGAGGGACTCAGAACTACCATATCACACCACAGGCTACCCTTTGGGCACTAGGTAGAAGGTAGAATGGGGAGGTACACTGGAGACATTTTTGTAAAGGGAAATCTCAAGGGCAGGTAGGAGGCCAGTGAGATTAAACGGGAGGTGAGGTAAATAGTCCCAGACACAGGGAACATGGGTAAGAGGAAGAGGGCGGATAGCATGGTGACCTTGGGGTGCTGTGAAATCTGCTAGGAATGGAGCACAGAATGCTGGGAAACAATAGTGGCAGGAAGGTAGGGGGTAGAGTCAGGGCTTCATGCTGAAGGGGGCCTTGCTCAGGCTGGGTGGGGCTCAGAAGAATGAAAGTCAAGCCTGGAGGGAAGGTGTGAGAGCAGTGGGGGACAGAGCAGGCAAGCTGGGAAAGGCAACCTCTGAGGCCTCTAGGTGGCAGATGGGAGTGGGACACAGGTAACATGGTTCCCAGCTCCAGGCAACTGGGCAAGCAGTCACAGAAGCAAAATATAATATTATACCCCATCAGGCATAGGAAACAGAATGAACTTTCTGGAGTCCTGAGATAGCTCCTCTGTACCCTGGATGGGCCCTGGGACTACACTGATCCCCAGCATCTGGTGCTGAATGAAAAAAGGCCTAGCCCACAATCCACAGAAATCCCAATCCCTTCTACTCATTTCCCACCCTAGTTCCCTTCCCCTTGGTTACAGCTCCCAAGCTGCCCCTCTGATTTTCTGAGCTGCAAAAAGCCACTTCTCCTCATTCTTTTGCTCTCTTAAAGACCCAAAGCCAGAGGAGCCTTGTTTGTCAAGGCAGCCAGGAATTCCTATGCAGAAACAGATTTGGGATCAGGGACAGGGACTCTGCCTAAAGCCAAGGGGTTCTCATGACTGGGGGGCTGGGAAGCAACATTCGAACACTTGTAGCTCTTTCTTGTCCACCTGTGGACATGGGGGGAGCTGCCTGCAAGGGCCTTTCACAGGATGCCAGAGAACCTCTGCTTCCCAGACCTCACAGTCCTGTTGCCCAATGCCTTTCAGAGGCCACAGAAAGCTGGGGATGTGGAAGCAGCCTGCAAGGCTTCTGGGACCCCTGGGAGTGGGAAGGTAAGAGGGAAAGTGAGTGCAGCCATCCATACTCTGTACCCCAGCACAGGCTCAATGACAAAACTTCTGCTGACTGAATGCTAATAGTCCAGGAGGGCCATGGGGTAGCGGGGGAGGACACAAATGGGTCTTCTCTATTTAGATTTTCATTTCATTCTTTTAATCCCTGACTTTGCTTTGTGACAGTTAGGCACATCTCACAAGTAAATGACCCAATTCTGGTCAAGTTCCCAGAGTAAAGGCCTTGGCCCTAGAGAGAAGAGAGACAGTAGACCACCCCCAAAGCTCATCCTACAACCCAAAGCTGCCTTGACTCCAAGGCACCAAGAGAGACTGTACCCCGCCCTGTCTACAGTGGATCTCAATATCCCAAGGAATCTTAACTCGCCCTGCAACCCGCACAAGGTTCTGGCTGTCACACTGCTGACCTGATCTGTGCCCATTAGAGTAAGGGAACGGCAGCCATTAGGCAGAGGGCGGTCACAGGCTTGTGCTCAGAC